CACGTTTTTTAATGAATAATATTTTCAAAAAATTTCTTTTTTTCAAATATTAATTTATTGTTAAACCACTTTTATTAAAAGTTATTAAAAAAATTTTTTTAATAATTACAAATAAGATAATAACCAATTACAGTATTTACTTATAAGAGTTATAGTGTTATAAAAAAAAAGCAACAGTTAATTTTATTATTTCTTTATTTTATTTATCTATGTATAGATGTAAAGAGATATATAATAAGGTGATATTGATAAAGCAAATAAAGAGACTTTGAACTCAGTCATAAAATCTTTTATTTATCTAATTAGCATTGTCAATCCTGACCTGCAACAGTAGAATAAAATTTATGGCAACATTTGAAACTTTGCTCTGAAAGAAAGTAAAAACTCGTCCACAAGTAATACCTTAATAGATAATCACCTCAATAAAGAAAGTGTACAGTATATTGTTTGTTACCCTGAGAATCATGTATTACGTTTTATTATTTATACTGTATAAAGTAACTACTGTATTCTAAACTACGTACAAGTTTATACAGTATTGTATTCTAAAGATCTACTGATTTGAAAAACACGATTTGCACGATTTAGATACCAGATAAAAATAGAAAATTATTTATAATTTTATACATATGTATCACCTTGACCAAAAAAATTTTCTTTGAAATAACCAATGATTGTCAAAGAAAAATTTTTGTATCATGCGGCTAATTTAACACGTATGTTATTGGAATTCGACCCTCGCTTGGATCAGCAAGTTTACAGAAGGCAGCCGCTAAATAATCATACACAGGAAATAATCAGTACGTAGTTGTTTCACACGAAAACAAGAACTCATAAAATTTCTAACTACTTACGACTCAGATCAAGGTCACCAGATTTGCAGCCTTGACAAATGTCTACGATCGTGACCGTGACTGATTTTCCATTATGGCTGACGGTGGCATTTCTGAAGCAATTTTTGTTTAAATTGGGATTATTATTAGGCGAATTTCCGAACATGGACACTGGAAGGGCGGCTACTAAATCTTGATCGGTATTTTGTTGACCGCAAGCGCCCATACCGATTTCATAGAAAGTACCCTCCCCGGTAAATGTGCCGTAACATAATCCATCTGAATTCACCCCATCATCACGCTTTTTGATAGGACTGGCGGATACAGAAATTAAAATAGAATCGAAGGTGAAAGCAACTGCCAAGATCAAGGCGAGGAAGAAGAGAAATGCGGATCTTTTGGATGAAAACATTTTAAGTATCTCGTATGTAAATGAAAGTATAAAATGCAAAGATGATGGTATGAACTTTGTTATTATGAATTAAAGCGAACTGGCGCAATAATCTTCGTGCGTAGGTGTGGATAATGGTGAAGGTGGAATAAATAAGGAATGCGAAAAAACAATAATTACGGCACAGCCGGTGCAGTAAATGTTGCGGGGAGGAACTTGGAATAACAAAATTCTGGTCAAAGTTGTCGACGAGGAGGAAGAAAGACGCATCTTTTATAGAAAATTTTTTATTTGATGAATATTTTAAGAAGTGGGAACACGAAAATTGGAGCAATAATATTGTACTACAAAAAAAAATAGCAATATGGAGAAGTAGTGTGACGAATAAAATAAAATGTCAAGAAAATTAATAATCTTTATCAAAAACAATCTGCAGTGTGGAATTTGTTGTAACCCTGGGTTTCGTGTTTTACATGTACAATCCGAAATACATCATCGCGCAGTCAATCGTCTATTCAGGGATTTTTACGGTAAATTCACTCTTAAAAGTGAATTATCATTATGGTATAAAATAATATAAAAATAGAAATTTCTTTCCCTACTCGCACACGTAAACCGGTAATCATCTAGTATAGAATGCAATAAATGGAATAAAGCTACCGAAATCGTACGATATGGTACGTTTTGCTGTCTGATACGATTTAAGGTAACCGAAGGAGACGCACACATCGTAAAATACGTGAAGCGTCTATTATGGTATATTTATTGTTCGTTTTTCCTTTTTTTCATGGTCACTCTTCATTTGATCCGACAAGATCACAACATGGGCACACGAATAAATCATAAGGAAAAATTCCGTCTTTCTAATGGCCATGCCTTTATTGTCTGCATGGGGTGCATTTTGTTGATCGGATCTATTAACTGCATATCGACTGGGATTGGTACGTACGCGATTAGGTACATATTTACAATATGACGCAGCATAGTCGGTGTGTGTACTTTTGCATATGTAATTAAATTCAAGAATTTTAGTCATAACTTTCTTTGTGCCTAGACGCCAATCAAGTCAAGATTACTCGCTATGTGCATAACTTTGTAAAAATAAATTCAATTTGCCGAATGCATCTCACGCATCTACTGAAGCATTCACTCTTATCTGAAATGGGTTAGAAAATCATGCAAATTTATTTCTGCAAGTTCCAATCATACAAATTTTACATAAATGCTTTTTGCTTTGCATGAAGATCTTTCTAGTTTACGTACACATTAAACCGATAGATAACGTACGATAATAATGACCTTGAAGTGTTGAATGAGTAGTTTCGACAGTTTTAGAAAGTTTAAAAGTTATTCCGATAGAAGTCCACAGAAATAATCGATCGGATCTTGGGTTGTTAATTAGTTTTTTCCAGATTTCATAGTCAATTGGTTAGTCAAAGTAGCGCGTTTGAAACTCAAACGACGATTTACTTTTAAAATTATGCCAAGAAGCTTGGCAAAGAAATTTCCGAAACTGACCGGACAACTCCAAAATTTTTATTCTTTTAATTCTGCTATACGGCACAATACACGGGTTCATCTTGCCACCCATGTTTTAAAATATTGTTGGTAATAAAGAGTTGTCAAAAGGAATATTTACGTGTCATTCATTTTTCAACCATGAACGAGATACCGTAACTGTACAGTCACCCTAAAAAGTGACGCCCGATTATCAATCAAAATCGACTTAGGTAAGTATACGTTTATTTTTATTTTTTTATTTAATTAATATTTAGTCGACCCTCCGTTTGCTTTTATTACGGCATCAATTCTTTGTGGCATTGAATGCACAACCTCTCGAAAAAATGATGTATCAAATTTTGACCACTCTTCCGTTAGAGTGACCTTGAGCTCATCCACAGTTCTTGGAAAATTTTCGTGCTTTTGGATATTGTCCTTTAACAGTTTTCAGATATTTTCGATCAGGTTTAAATCAGGGGAGTTGCGGGTCAATCGATAATTCGGATATTTTCTTTTTCAAACCAATTTTTAATGATCTTTGCTGTGTGAATTGAAGTATTGTCATGCTGAAACACCAAATGTGGTGATATCAAATCATGATTTTTATGTTGAAATGATAAAAAATGATTTTCCAGAATCTTTTGATATGTTTTTGCAGTTATTTTTTCTTTTTTTTCTTTATATTCATTACAAAAAACTAATGGTTCTTTTGTTTCACCTATAAAACACCCCACACCATTACTGTTCACCAGTCACTCTTAAATGTAGGTACTAAACACTTGGAATCATATCTCTCTCCTGAATTTTGCCAAACTCTTATTTGTCATGACAATTTCCAATTTCCACACTTGTTTCATCAGAAAAAATTATACATAATCAATCATAGACTGTTTTGTTTTTGTTTTTTTTACACCAGTTGAGGTGTGCAGTTGCGTTACTTTCTGATATGAAGGGTTTTTTCGTGGCGACATGAGATTGAATTCCAACGTTATACAATATATTTGCTACAGTTTGTGGATTGTATTTAAGCTCTAGACTATTTAAAATTTCACATAATAGTGTGTGATGTTTTTTGATTACTTCTTGTATTAGCATTTTCTTTTCCTTTTCATTAAGGGCTTGTGATTTACCTGATTGCAACATATTTGTTGTTTTTCTGATTTTTCAATATTTTGCAATAAATTGTTGAATTGTTGTAGGGTTTTGTCCTATTTTTTTTGCCATCTGCTCAGGATTCATATTTTTCAAATATGTAAGTATTTTTTCTTTATTGATATCAGTTAATTGTGTATAGTTGGAAGTCATAATATTTTTTAAAAAAAAATTATGCGAAATATGTTAAAAGAGTAACAAAAAACAACAACAAAAGGATAGGTGTAAAAAATAACAAAAAGGATAAAAAAAGTCATGATATAATTTATCATACTTTTATACTTAAAAATCAAGCATTATTTTTTAGGGTGACTGTACATGCATAACATGGCATGTGCTGAAAGAAAATAATATTTGATATTAATTAATTTAAATAATAATTAACATTAGTTTATCTAAAATTCGAGTGTTAAGAACAACTCTAAGGTTAAAATTGACCAGTTGCATTAGAATTTCATAAATTATAATATAGAAATGAATATAATTTTCTTTGTAATTACATAAGCCTTGATCTTAATTTTTTCATAATTATAAAGATTTTTATTCTGTAGGTTATTTTAAATATATTTGTTTTTTAATCAAGTAAAAGTATGAAAGTGAGATAAAATAAATAAAATATTTTTTATAAATTGGATCCATACAATTTTTTATTTTTTTATTATTATTGATCTTTTTTGATCACCAGTTTAAATCATTATTAAACAACAATTATTTTTTTTTTTTTTTTTTTTTTTAAATCGCAAATAAGCATTAAATGCGAGACTTTTATTAAACGAGAGTTTATAGCC